TTTACATAACTGGCTGTTTAGCCCCGCCCACCGATTCTACAACCCTGCCTGTTTAGCCCCGCCCACCGATTTTACATCGCTGCCTGTTTAGCCCCGCCCACCGATTCGCAAATGTAGTGTTTATGAGAGAGACGAACACGCAGGTCTGTGCAAAAACCAAACGATAAAGATGCTCTGAAGACAACAAGATGCTGTGCAGTGCCAAGCTGTGGAACAACAGTGTTTGCATGGCCTTCCATCTGATCCCAATGTTAGGAAAGAGTGAATGAACTTGATTTTTAATGAAGATCCAGACCGTGTCTGTAAGAACGTGGTCCTTTCACTTCATTTTACTGCAGATTCGTTTACAAACAAGGCACAATTCGATGCGGGATTTTCAGAAAGACTGAAACTAAAAGACGATGCTGTGCGACTGTATTGGATCCGACAGTAATGTCGAAACACAAGTGTGAGAAACAATCACACCAGTGGCGTTCACTTCCGAGTCTACAATCCTCCAGAGCGCTCTGATGAGGGGTTAAAGACAGAACAGAACATAAACTACTACTTCTAAATTATGATGTTATGTTATGCATGCACTTAATTTCCAGCGATATCGTGGACTTGATTGCACAGATACTGTTTAAACTGAACTGAGCTGGATGATGACATCACTGAGTCAATGATGAACTGCCTTTAACTGAAGATTGAGTGTTTACTATTGTCCTTCTGCATTATTGACACACTATTTTCCTGTTTAATACTGTAAAGCTGCTTTGACACAATCTATATTGTTAAAAGCGCTATATAAATAAAGGTGACTTGACATGTGTTTTGATGTAAAAATCTTGATAACATTATGAGTGGATCTTCAGATAAAAACAGAGGCCGTTCATGACCTCTTTAAAACTAAATATATTTTCATTTTAACAATATATTTCAGTAAGCTTTATTGTTTACCACATATATTTAGCATCTCTTTTGCCCCCCGCAGAAGAAGGAAAGTCGCAGGGGTTTGCAGGATGCTGAGAATGAGTGTCGCTCGATCATGTGTTCGTCTCACCTGCAGCACAGCCAGATCTCTCGACAGCACCACGATCATGTTCAGCAGCAGCTTCTTCATCTCAAAGTCCTCCTTGCTGAAGGACAGCTTGAGGTTTCTCACCAGAGGATTGTGGCTCTTCACTGAGAAACACAGATGTGTGAGGAATGTTCTCGCCGCTGTCATGAACGCTGGTTAAATCAGCAGTACTTACGCTCGGGAAACGTGAGGAACGGCGTGAGATGCTTGAGGAAGCCGCTCTCCTGAAACACACAGACGCTCGCTGAGAGCTGCAGAGGAAGAGTTATGAGGAGGAGGAGGATGAAGACTCACGATCAGAGGAGCGCCGGGCTTCTCCGCGATCAGAGACAGCAGCACCAGCAGGTCGTTCCTCAGCTGACGCTCGTGATGACGGAAACCCTTCAGGAGCAGATGGAGAAACACGTCCTTCAGAGATCTGCAGCACAGAGAGAATCATGGGAAGGTTTAGAGCACGCTCATCTTCAGCTCACGTCTGACACATTCCTCCCATTACTGTCATGCAGAGAACCAATGCTTTTCATTTCTGCTGGTAATAAATCATTGCACTGTGGCAGCTGTCAACAATCTTTTTCTATTTAGTATTTTTCCTGTTCTTCAGATTGAGGGAGTGTTGTGGTTTATACGTTAGCTCCGTGCTTTATATGAAGAGTTTTGTTTGAGCAGGATTGTAGTGTAGGGAGTGTTTTATTATTTGGCACGCAAGTTGCTGATGTTTTTATTTAGTAAATCTTGTGTTTTCACTGCTGTGTGCAGAATATACTGCTGTTTTTAATTACTCCTCTGGGCCCAGTAATACAACGGGTAATACAGTGAGTATCTTTCTTTTTTGTTGATTTAATATTGTTTGTAGTTTGTAAGTGCTATAGTTTAGAATATTTTTTGGAAACTAGTTAAAATAAAATTGTAGTATATGTGCACGAATTGAAAATCTACTATATGGAAGGTGAATAAGCATAAGCATTCATTTTTTTTCTCTTCTTCTTTTTTTCCCCGAACCCAAATGACTTTTTTTTGTGTTTAGTTTTTTTTCTAAACTGCATAAGAATGAATTCATCAGTACTGAATTTGATTGCTGTATTTATTTAATTATTACCTGATTTTTTCTAGTGCAATTCACCTGTTGTTATTTTTTGTGAGATGTGATGAACTGATCTGAGATCGAATAGAAAAAGTTGTAAACCATATCTTGCTGTTTCTTGTCCTATCTGATATCCATAAAAGAGTTGATTAAGCATGGACTGTTTTATCAAATCAGAACTGGACAGAATTTAATAAGTGTGGTGGTTTGATGAAGCATGGCTACAGTATTATTAGTCATTAATCTCCTGTGTGTTCAGTGCATATTAACTATGTTCATGAACATGTATCATGTATGTACTGATCATCTCTCCGTGTGATCTGAAGCGTGTTTGACTCACGCGATGCAGTCGCTGCTGCTGAGCTGTGAGGTCACTTCCTGTCGAGAGCCGTTCTCCAGCAGGTTCCACAGGATCTCGGAGGATCTGAAGAGCAGCTCTCCGGACGGATCTCCTTCGCTCATGTGGAAGCAGATCTTCTGCGCGGCCTGAGCTCTCAGCATCAGGTTACAGTTGACTTCTGTCAGGAAACACACGGCAGGTTCAGATGGAGCTGTGATGCACCGAGACTGAGCGGAGGCTCTGATGGTCACCTGATGCTCTGGACAGGATCTGCAGCGTCTGCAGGAGACACAGTTTGACTGGAAGCTGCTCCTCCATCAGAGCCAGAGACATCACCAGCGTCTCAGAAACACCACTGCGCTCCAGCATCAGAGCCCTGTAGTCCAGACGAGCGGGAGCCAGGCCTGAAACACACACACACATCAGTACACACACACATCAGTACACACACACACACATCAGTATACACACACACAGTCACACACATCAGTACACACACACACACATCAGTATACACACACACAGTCACACACATCAGTACACACACACACACATCAGTATACACACACACAGTCACACACATCAGTACACACACACACACATCAGTATACACACACACAGTCACACACATCAGTACACACACACACACATCAGTATACACACACACAGTCACACACATCAGTACACACACACACACATCAGTATACACACACACAGTCACACACATCAGTACACACACACACACATCAGTATACACACACACAGTCACACACATCAGTACACACACACACACATCAGTATACACACACACAGTCACACACATCAGTACACACACACACACATCAGTATACACACACACAGTCACACACATCAGTACACACACACACACATCAGTATACACACACACAGTCACACACATCAGTACACACACACACACATCAGTATACACACACACAGTCACACACATCAGTACACACACACACACATCAGTATACACACACACAGTCACACACATCAGTACACACACACACACATCAGTATACACACACACAGTCACACACATCAGTACACACACACACACATCAGTATACACACACACAGTCACACACATCAGTACACACACACACACATCAGTATACACACACACAGTCACACACATCAGTACACACACACACACATCAGTATACACACACACAGTCACACACATCAGTACACACACACACACATCAGTATACACACACACAGTCACACACATCAGTACACACACACACACATCAGTATACACACACACAGTCACACACATCAGTACACACACACACACACATCAGCACACACACGCACTCACACACATCAGTACACACACACACAGACACACACATAAATACACACACTCACACACATCCGTACACACACACACTCATCAGTACACACACACACACACACACACACACACACACACAGTCACACACATCAGTACACACACACACACACAGATACACAGTCACACACATCACAGTGTTGTTTCTGGCCTGGTCAGAGACATGAGGTCAGAAGGGAAAAATGTACTCACATGGACACAGGGCTCAAAGTGCATGTCACACACACACTCACTCACTCACTCACTCACACACACACACACTCACTCACTCACACACACACACACACACACACATCAGTACACACACACACACACACACAGACACACACTCTCTAACACACACACACACACACACACACATCAGTACACACACACACACACACACAGACACACACTCTCTAACACACACTCTCACACACACACACATCAGTACACACATACACACTGGATCACGTCTCTCACCGTCAGAGCGGTGTTTGTGTTTGTCGCGGCTGTAGAAGGCGATCACAGTCGAGCAGATCTGACGCCGCACCTCCGGCAGCGGGATCCTCATCAGAAAACCTGTCATAACACACTCATTATAGAGAGAATACACTCATCCAGCGGAGAGAGAACATGTGCACACAAACTGCAGAATTCACTCAGAAATCTAGGAATACACTGAATTTAGTCAAAGCTGGGATCAGATATCACCACAAAAGATACCACAAAAGACAAAAAAGAGAAATTATAATTTGCATAAAGAAATCAAACCCAAAATTGAAAAATTATTCAAAACCATTTTACTTTTGATTTTCTTTTTTATACGGTTCTTTATTTGACTTTACATTACTGGTCAGAAGTGTACAATAATTACAATTCTTCAATGTTTCAAAATCTCTTCTGCTCATCAAGGCTGCATTTATTTGATCAAAAATACAGTAAAAATAGTGAAATATTATTATAATGTAAAACAGCTGTTTTCTCTGTGGATATCTGTTAAACTGTAATGTATTTCTGTGATGCGCAGCTGTATTTTCAGCATCATTACTCCAGTCTTCAGTGTCACATGATCTTCAGAAATCATTCATTTGCTGATTTGCTGCTCAAGAAACATTTCTGATTATTATCAATGTTGAAAACAGTCGTGCTGCACAATATTTCTGTGGAAACTGTGATGCATTTTATTTTTCAGGATTCACAGATGAATAGAAAGTTCAGAAGAACAGCATTTATTTGAAATAGAAATCTTTTGTGACATTATAAATGTCTTTACTGTCACTTTTGATCAGTTTAATGCATCACCGGTGAATGAAAGCATTATTTTCTTCTTTTTTAAATCTTGCTGATCATGTGGTTAATATGCTCACCCATCTGAGACACACAGTCTGTCACCACAGCGGCGTAGCTCATCTCATCAGACGACTTCTCCTTCAGGAAGGGAAGACTTGAAGACATGAAGCATTGAAGATTTCATTAGTTCACGTTCACTGTTCACAGTCTGCTATAAAGACTATAAAGACTGATATCACACCTGCATATCTGCAGTAAATCACAGAGGATTCGGGCATATTCCGGATGATCGGACACTCTTTCAGCACAAACATTCATAATCTTACATATGTCAGCGAGGTCCCTCAAAAGCTGGACAAGGGCACTTTAAGGAAAGTGTTAATCATGTCACCTTCATCATCATCATCACAGGATTATTGCACAGAGACTCTCAGAGCGTCATGCGGTGCGTCACACCAAACATCAGCTAATATCTGAAGCTGGAAAATGCTGACTGTAGTGCTGTACACGGAGACATCAGGGACTGTAGTATCCTAGAGCACACTGACATCAGCAGAACCATTATTCACACTCACACTGTCCTGCATCTGCACTAGATCACATATAAACAGAACCCCACCTAAACAAAACATTTATGATTTTATCTGATCATTTGTGCATTTTTTAGTTGTACTTAGAACCCCCAGTATTGTGATTTGGTCATGGGTTTTATCTTTTCTACAATATAATAATATAATATAATATAATATAATACAATATAATATAACAATTTGTAATTTATTCCCCCATCTTATGATTCTTTTGTTTACATTTTCATAAACAAAGAATGCAAAAAATGTATGCAAAAAAAAAGCTCTCATTTATATACTTCCGCTTTTGAATCACCTTTTCTTTTAAATCACCATTTTTAATGTCATCATGATTATGACAGTGTCATCTACATGAAACTTTTAGGATACAAATCCACGCTGGCATTGTTTTACCACCTTCTTCAAGATAAAAATCTGCCTTTCTTTTAGTGAGGACTGGAAACAAGAGAGAGGTGTTAAAAATGAGCTCAATACTGAACAAGAGATGAAGCAAACACTGTATGGCAAGCCCATTAACATTTAACCTTTAAAGCGTAAATGTATTTTCATGCTACAAGTACTTATTTTTAGATACTAGTAAATTTTACATTAAGTACTAGTATTTATTCATTAGCTACAGTGCTTATTCTCTAGCTACTAGTACCTTTTTAATAGTACTTATTAAATACTAGTACTTATTTATCATATACTAGTTCAAATTTCAATAGTGACTAGTAACTATTCTATTGTTACTAGTGACACATTTCATTGCCATTGACTTTTATGGGGATCTGTCATTAATATATCAACTATTCACTTCTGACGAGTATGTACTACAGTAGTGACTAGTATATATATTTTATGATCTAGTAGTTATTCATTAGGGACTAGTACTTTTTTAGATAGTAATACCTATTATTAAATTCTAATACACAATCATATACTGCAGTAGTACTTGTTCATTAGATACTTCTACCTATTAAACAGATACAACTATCTATTTATAACATACTAGTACTTATTAGATATTAGAACTTATTCACTGCATACTAGTATGTATTGCTTGGCTACTAGTAAGTATTCAATAGATACTAGTTAATATTTATTAGATACTAGTACTTATTCCAAGTGTTACCAGTGAGATTTTTTGATTGAACTCTACAGTGGTCATTCTAACTAGTCAGAACATAAGACAAGAAAACAAATCAGTTGTGACTAGTCAGATTTGTTACTAGTAACAATTACAAAGGGTACTAGTGTCTAAAAAGCAGTACTAGTACCCAATGAACAACTACTAACATCTATTAAATACATACTATATTTAGTAGCATTTAATAAGTAAATAGTAAATAGTAGTATTTAATAAAATGTACAGTATGTAATGAATGCATACTAGTACAATTAAAAAGACACTAATCGCTATTGGAATGCATACTGGTCAGAACTGACTAGTTGATATCTTAACGACAGATCCCATCGAGGTCAAGGGTAAAGACTGAAATGTGTTACTAGCAACAGTAGAATAGTTACTAGTCACTATTGAAACAAGTACTTGAAAATAATAAATGAGAACTATTATCTAATTAATAAGTAGACTAGAATCTTCAGAAAGTTACCTGTAGCCTAAAAATAATCACTAGTAGCTAAAGAATAAGTGCTAGTAGCATGGAGAAAGAAAGTGCACGCACGGAATGTTAAAGCGGCTTGCCATACACACGCGTCTTACCGAGAGCGGGTCCTGCAGCAGCTGAAGCACTCGAGAGAGATCGGTGACCCTCACAGCCTGGAAAACAGCGGCGAGTCAGAGACAGACACGGAGGAACAAACACTGAGAAACACGGAGACACCGGCGGAGACGCACCTCGGACCGGGGTTGTGGATGGGTCGGCGCGGGTTTGTGGATGAAGCCGCGGGCGTGCGGCGCGCTGGACAGCATGATCTACAGCGATGCGATCATCTCACCTGCATCATAACAACAGGACGCGCTGCGGTCGCCATGGTAACGCGCGCTGCTTCCGGAGCGCTGCTCGAGACGAACTTCCGCTTCAGATTGCCGAACTTCTCATGTCAGTTTCTTAAATTACGCAAGAAACAAATCAAACAGCGCAAATTATTAAATAAATCAATAAAAAACGCGAGTTCCTGCATGTCCTGCATCCATATGAATATAACACACAGCAGCGAAGAATTCCAGGTGGGCACTTTATTTTGGTTTGTGTTGACAAGCTTAAGAGCGGAAGTGAGGTTGTGAGTTTCCTGCAGATGAGGCAGAATAAACGATGCTGGATTTAATGTGTTTCGTTCAAGAACATAGGTAGGAACTGTTCGTCTAGTTTAAGAGTATTGAGTGGTTGAACAGAAACATCATTATCAATGCTGGCGGACTCAGGTGAGACTCATTTAACCCCTTTAATGTGTGTGTACTGTATGCCTTGTGTCATGCGAACGAGAGAGAGAGAGTGTGTGTGTATGTGTGTATGTGTGTGTGTGTGTGTGTGTGTGTGTGTGTATGTGAGAGAGTGAGAGA